AGATCCGGGCATACTGATCGGAAGTTTTGTAACAGTATAAATACTTGTTGTTTTCCGAAAAGTCAGAGACAAAATACATGCTGGTAAAATGAACTTTGTGTAGGTTTGCGGGGCGATTGAAAATAATTGTTTTGTCGAGTGCACCACGTCTATTGATCTCACAAAGCTTTCGATCCACAAGCCCGGACTTTCATCCGTTGGAATAATGTAATTTGCGCTGATGACGTTCTATGCTCACCGCTCGAACGCTTTGCGAAATCAATGAGCATGCTGCGTCAATGAATTAATGAAGCTAGAAGCTAAAAGCAAATGGCTCTCAGGGCAGAATGCGTCCTAATAGCTCAGCTGCATATCGCTGCTTTTTATTGCCAGATGCGTGGGAAGACGTGTGAATTACATTATGTTTTATTTTTATATTTTATATAATTTATCAGCTTGCGTAGGCAGCCCCAAATAAGCTCTATTTTTATCACCTTTTTGTGCATAAAGTTTTTGTGATTTATTATTTTTGTAAAAACCTAAACTAACTTTATATTGGATAGCTCTATCAGTTCTAAACTGTTCTTCGTAGAGATCCAGTAAGAGCCATCTCTTATTGATCCAGTGTTACTACAGGAGGAAACCTAAACTAAACCAACTTTATTTATACTGGATAGCTCTATCAGTTCTAAACTGTTCTTACTAGAGGTCCAGTTAGGATCATCTCTTATTGATCCAGTATTACTACAGCAGGAAACTTAAACTAAACTAACTTTATTTATACTGGCCAGCTCTATCAGTTCTAAACTGTTCTTCCTAGAGGTCCAGTAAGAGTCATCTCTTATTGATCCAGTGTTACTACTGGAGGAAACCTAAACTAAACTAACTTTATTTATACTGGATAGCTCTATCAGTTCAAAACTGTTCTTCCTAGAGGTCCAGTAAGAATTATTGATCCAGTGTTACCACAGGAGGAAACCTAAACTAAACTAACTTTATTTATACTGGATAGCTCTATCAGTTCTGAACTGTTCTTCCTAGAGGTCCAGTAAGGATCATCTCTTATTGATCCAGTGTTACTACAGGAGGAAACCTAAACTAAACTAACTTTATTTATACTGGATAGCTCTATCAGTTCTAAACTGTTCTTCCTATAGAGGTCCAGTAAGGATCATCTCTTATTGATCCAGTGTTACTACAGGAGGAAACCTAAACTAAACTAACTTTATTTATACTGGATAGCTCTATCAGTTCTAAACTGTTCTCCCTAGAGGTCCAGTATGATCATCTGTTATTGATCCAGTGTTACTACAGGAGGAAAGTGGAAACCTAAACTAAACTAACTTTATTTATACTGGATAGCTCTATCAGTTCTGAACTGTTCGTTCTAGAGGTCCAGTATGATCATCTGTTATTGATCCAGTGTTACTACAGGAGGAAAGTGGAAACCTAAACTAAACTAACTTTATTTATACTGGATAGCTCTATCAGTTCTAAACTGTTCTTCCTAGAGGTCCAGTAAGAATCATCTCTTATTGATCCAGTGTTACTACAGGAGGGAACCTAAACTAAACTAACTTTATTTATACTGGATAGCTCTATCAGTTCTAAACTGTTCTTCCTAGATGTCCAGTAAGGATCATCTCCTATTGATCCAGTGTTACTACAGGAGGAAACGTAAACTAACTTTATTGATACTGGATAGCACTATCAGTTATAAACTGTTCTCCATAGAGGTCCAGTAAGGATCATATCTTATTGATCCAGTGTTACTACAGGAGGGGACCTAAGCTAAAGTAACTTTATTTATACTGGATAGCTCTATCAGTTCTAAACTGTTCTCCCTAGAGGTCCAGTAAGGATCATCTCTTATTGATCCAGTGTTACTGCAGCAGGAAACTAAACTAACTTTATTGATACTGGTAATATAATTGTAAATGTGTCTTCTAAGAGCTTCACTGTTCTTCCAGGAAGAAACCGGAGAGCCAAGTAGAATCACACTGAAAGCACGTTTCTCACATGTGACTGAGGTGAAATTATAATTCCAGGAATCTCGACCAACCTTCATTCCACGGGAACAAACATTTCTTGAAATCAGGACAAGGCGGTACAATCATCTTCCATCGATTGTCAATCTTCTTATCAGGCTTCTTCTTGTCCGGATCACAAACATAAGGCATGCCAGTCTTCGTGTCAAACGCATGTATATATGGTAGCATGTTCAGGACACCCAGGCTCGCCCCTGATAGACCAACACCATGGCCTGTGATGACGTCAATCCCCGCGTAGAGCTGGCCGCGAATCGCTTCTTCTTTTGCGGAAACTGAAAACGAATTGTTGGAGTAAGTATTAGTTTTGATGAGCGTTACAGAGCAGCAAATGGTGGTCAAGTTTACACAATGATGACACTTAACGCCCTTTTACACTTACGATTTTCCTCTTCTGATGAATAGGCGTAAAAAAATACCTGTGGTTCCGGTTCCCGACCGACCCTATTTTTTTTCTGCCGACACTATTATTTTTTCAACGCGATTGACCGTGCGACCCTATTTTCTCCAGGTGGTTGCAGGCTGCTCATACAGCGTGGCAAAATGGCGTCTGTTGTCACACTAATTATTGAACCAAATTGCCTAAATTCGTCCATAGGAAATACGAATCTCTAGTTAATATTGATGCCAGGACTCTACTGTAAATCGCCCAGCAAAAAACCACCAAAACCATGAAAAACATATTCAAAAAAAAAATTTATTTCCGACCTACCGACCCTAATTTTTTCACGATATGAAACCGGAAGGTTCTAATCTTGGGCCACTTCTTTTCTTATTATATATAAACGACCTGCCAAACTGCCTGACCTCATCTTTAGCAAGCATGTTTGCCGATGACACAAATGTTTCAACCAATGGCAAAACAAATGACGAACTACAAGAACGCATTAACGTGGACTTAGAAAATATACACCAATGGTTACTTGCAAACAAACTTACACTTAACAAAGATAAAACTGAATACATGATTATTGGTTCAAGACAACGAATTTCAAACTTAGTACAGGTGCCTACGAGCCTTGAAGAGCTACCGCTTTAAAATATTTTTAAAAAATAATAATAAAAATAATAACCACAGGAGTTTTTTTTACGCCATATGAATGAGGAGATGATATGTAATGAATGTTGAGATGAGGGTACATGAACTCAGAACATTCATAGCTCATCCACTCGTTCACATCCATCAGAAGACGAAAATCGCACTAGAAATCCAGGGTGTTAGCTAGCCCATATACTGTCCGGAAGACGGACTCTTCCCAATTGACCATTTGCGTAATAGACTAAATTTTGATCTCAACAAAAATTTCATTACAGCTTGAAAGAGCATCACAACATTAGTAATATTCCAAAGTTTCGTTGCAAAATGTTGTAAAATGCGGAAAATATAGCCTTGCGAAATTTGCAATTTTCAGTCATTTTAGATTACAAACCGGAAATTGACAGCCTCGAAGGGTTTGGGGCTGTCGATTTCCCGTTTGTAATCTAAAATGACTGAAAATTGCAAATTTCGCAAGGCTATATTTTCCGCATTTTACAACATTTTGCAACGAAACTTTGGAATATTACTAATTTTGTGATGCTCCTTCAAGCTGTGATGAAATTTTTGTCTGGACTTGTTTAGTTCAAAATTTAGTCTATTACGCAAATGGTCAATTAAAGTAGCTAAGGGGCTTTCCCAACTGGGTCTACTGGAAGATTTTCATTTTTTCTGATGAGAAAGTGCATTGCGTTTGATTTTATATTATTATATCAAAGAACGTTTTATTTGTACAAAACAAAGTGTAATCGGTGTGCATCCATGTTCATTGAAGTTAAATATACAAAACGAAATGCCATCGGGTGCATTTTTCAGTGTTCATTCACCGGTATGGTTTCAGTGTACAAAACCAAGTTACCGTTGTTTGCATCTAAGGAGAAACACGTTGGAAAAAAAAACAACTATTTATTTCTACACAAGGACTTTGATCGGTCAAAAAAACTTTCCCAATTTACGTTTAACGGACAAAACTTTTTTTTCTGGCTAACACCCTGAAATCGCAGCGAAAATTGCAAGTGTGATCGGGTCTTTACAGGAGTTAGGTATACTTAAGGATAAAAACATTTACCATACTTTTTCGAATGACATCATTTCGCTTCTTAGAAAACCATAGTTTCTGGATGTTGTTCTTATGTTTCAGTTTCACAGGCATGTTGGATTTTTTTATCGCTAAAACAGAGAAAATAGTCTAACGTTTACCAGAAGCAATAAAAGTAATTTCTAAATATAGGGAGGGAAATCGCCCTAGTCTAATCTCTTGTTCATCCAGAGTTACTACAGGAGGAATGCGATGTTTGGTAGAGTCAAACTGGAAGCACTCTTCTCAAATTCATTAATAATTCATGAGCAATTCAGCCAACGATAATCACCTATTTGATCACAAGATGCCATTTGGATAACCCGGTGAAACTTGATGAAAGTCACTAGTATTTTCATCAAATACCTTAATTACGCATGCAAAATTACTTGAATAGAATTCCCAATTACGTTATGCTTGGTTAAGAATTCCATTCAAATCAGCAAACCAAAACATTCTGTTACGTCTCGATTCATTTGAGAAGCCATATAAACAACTCGTTGTTCAGTCATATATTACTTCTCACATGTGACTAAAGTGAAATTATAATGAGACAACTGTATATTGCAGGAATCAAACCTCAGTCACAGAGATGAAAGATAATGGGCAATTACATCTAATATCCGTACCCCCCCCCTGTCGAGGACCTCATTTTCCAAGGGGGAAATTAGTCATTTTTTCCAGAGGGGTAATTGGGAAAAATGGAAGAAAAATGCTCTTTCCAGAGGGGTTAAAAAGAAAAAAAGCACTTCCAGAGGGGGTTCAAGTCTCTTCCAGAGAGGTCAATTACACAGATTTTTTTGCATTCCAGAGGGGTAAAAATCTCCAAAAGCAGAGGTCCTCGACAGGGGGGGTTTGGTTTTTTAATGTAATAGCCCAATGTACTGAACACTGTGTCATCAACGTCCCCTTCTTTACTAGGATGAAACTCGAAGATAATGCAAAGCTTAACTCCTTATTAACATATTTCCAGACCCAGACTCGGCACTGTTTAATGATATACTTTTTTACTGTCTAACGCCAAATTATTTTATTTGTCAACGTGAAACACACCATAATATCGCAGGAATACTAGATTCCCCTTATTACGTTTTCGTAGCGCTTTGCATTGTCGTTATAGTGGTATCACTGATATTCAAGATGGCTTATCGTTTGTCGTGACCCGTGCAAGAACTTTTAAAAAAACCTAGGGTCAAGTGCGCGATAGCCAACAGCAAAATATTCACGAAAACATGTATTCAATATTTTCATTCGAGGCCGCTATCTTTATCAGTGATACCACTATAACCACAATGCAAAGCGCTACGAAAACGTAATAAGGGGAATCATCAATTGAGCCCAAGTCATAGAGATGAAAGACACACATACTGAAACCAACACACCATAACTGTATCACTGAATCAAACAACTCTACATTATC